CGGGTTCGGATATCTCATGGCCGCGCTAGCATGCTAGACTCGGCGTGCACGGTATCGGTTACGTATCGTTTGTATATGGACCTGATTGCGTTTAATGTTATCTGCACATGTATAATGTTGAAGGTGCTCCTAAATATTGACAATCGTAGTGTACATCAGTCAGTGTTGTTGCAGTTTCCGCGTAGACTTTGAGGTGTCGCAAACACAGCAGTTTATGACGATTATATCAATATTATATAATTATATTTTCAATGTGTTTTTAGGGGCGTGAAGAAATGCGAAGATGATTAAAACGTTGAATAGAAAGCTAAGTACTGCTTTGTTTCAATATATAGCACTAGCTATTACCCGTCCTCCAGACGGGTTTGAGTGGGGTCTGATTTGAGGATGCCGGTTTAACCATTTATCTCTCACTTTTAGTTGAGGATGTATTTACAGTAAATACTGATATGTAGACTCGAGTCATACATCAATATTTGTTCAAAAAAATTGTATCTAAATATATAAAATCTGAAATTTTACCTTAAAATTACATACAATTTTTCAAAAAAAGAGAAATGGGGTGATTTTATAGTACAATTTCACTTATTTACACGCGCACCCACGCACACACATACCAATTTACACACACACATACACGCACATGCACACGCACACACACGCATACATACACACACACGCACACGCACACGCACACGCACACGCACACATGCACACACGCACACACATACAACTGCAGCCGTATCTTGTTGGGGGTTGTCTTAAATTCGCTACAGGGTGTGGCGGAAGAGTGCTGCAGGGTGTGACGGATGGGTGCTGCAGGGTGTGACGGAAGGGTGATGCACGGTGTGACGAAAGGGTGCTGCAGGGTGCGACGGAAGGGTGCTGCAGGGTGTGGCGGAAGGGTGCTGCAGGGTGTGGCGGAAGGGTGCTGCAGGATTTGTGACGGAAGGGTGCTGCAGGGTATGACGGAAGAGTGCTGCAGGATTTGTGACGGAAGAGTGCTGCAGGGTATGACGGAAGAGTGGTGCAGGGTGTGGCGGAAGAGTGCTGCAGGGTGTGACGGAAGGGTGATGCACGGTGTGACGAAAGGGTGCTGCAGGGTGCGACGGAAGGGTGCTACAGGGTGTGGCGGAAGGATGCTGCAGGGTGTGACGGATGGGTGCTGCAGGGTGTGCCGGAAGGGTGCTGCAGGGTATGACGGAAGAGTGGTGCAGGGTGTGGCGGAAGAGTGCTGCAGGGTGTGACGGAAGAGTGCTGCAGGGTGTGGCGGAAGAGTGCTGCAGGGTGTGACGGAAGAGTGCTGCTAAGAGTGCTGCAGGGTGTGACGGAAGAGTGCTGCAGGGTGTGGCGGAAGAGTGCTGCAGGGTGTGACGGAAGAGTGCTGCAGGGTGTGGCGGAAGGGTGCTACAGGGTGTGGCGGAAGGGTGCTGCAGGGTGTGACGGATGGGTGCTGCAGGGTGTGCCGGAAGGGTGCTGCAGGGTATGACGGAAGAGTGCTGCAGGGTGTGGCGGAAGAGTGCTGCAGGGTGTGACGGAAGAGTGCTGCAGGGTGTGGCGGAAGGGTGCTGCATGATGCGGTGGATGGGTGGGGGAATGTGGGGGAATATTACTACATAATACACTGTACAACAACATGCGTTTTTACGCACGCTTCCACGCACGCACGCACGCACGCACGCACACATGCACGCACGCATACACGACTTCCACGCACGCACACATGCATACACAGAAAAACCGCAAACGCTCGTTCAGGGTAAGCGTTCCGAGCGGCATCGCAGTCGCCAGTGCAACCGCCAGAGAATCCACGATGTACGGATCGTATGTGATGTGCTGCTGCTGATGGGATGGAAATTGTTACGTGGTAGGTAACCCTGTACAATGCATTCTGAAAGGTTACAGCTTGGAGCCAGTAAAGTAATGGCGCAATAATTATCCATTTGCAATGCCAGTGGCGTAAATTGCTCAGTGTATATATTTGCAAAGTCAGTAAAAGGATAAATGTGATGCCTGTTACTCTAAATAATGAATAGCGTGTACTATTGTCTATTTAATCTGTACATATAGCATAATCTACAACCTAACCCTAACACTAACCCTAACACATCAATAAGTAAATTAACAAATAACTACAGCTACCTCGTTTAAATGTTCATATTTAAATTTCTTATGCATGTTTGAAAAACGTAATGTAAGCTTGTTTAGTGTGGAAACTTTATTCTCCAGTTGCATTGCAAACTGTACACAATGTTAACCAGAGAAACTTGTCTTTCTGCAGGTACGATCCAAAAACCAGGTAAATCGGAGAAGACATCACATGGCCGGGTCAATGTCTGTGTTCGTATGCGTGCGTCTGCGAGGGTGTGCAGGTGCGTGCGTTCTTTCGTGTATGTGAGTGAGCACTTGTGCGCGTGAACGTGTGCGTGTGCGCGACTGTGTGCGTGTGCGTGTGCGCGACTGCGAACGTGTGCGTGTGCGTGTGCCGCGGCGTGTGCGTGTGCGCACAGTATGTCTGCATGTGTATCATGTATATACGACAGAATAATAAGCATATTTGTTGCACATGTTAATTTGTTCAGGTAAATCACAGCCACCGCAAAGGTCCACCACATACGTCATCGTGACTGCTATGAAATTCTGTGGGACAGCATGATTAACCGCCCATAGCTGTAACATAAGATGATATCATTCTGTTTGCGATCTTATAACATAAACTATGTTTGTCCATGTTATGAAGAGTTGATAATATAGAGAATGTCGGTTAAAATATGACTTGACAGTTTATTTAACATCGCCAATTCACCAGAGAATAACAACATTCCTCAAAACTAATATTGCATGGATTTACCCTCACTGCTTATAAATTCACATTATACCATGTTTCAGCCTTAATTACTACTCATGAAATAATATTAATTACCCTGAAGTGTACCAATCTCATATTCTGCTACACCCTCTTTTACCATAGCTGCTCGAAAATTCCCCCATACCGGTACAGGAGGTAAGAAAACATTCTTCTGTTTTAATTCATGTCTTGCATGCCTTTAGATCACATATATGTCTAATATTAGAGAGCTTTTTTGGCTTGAGCATAGATTAATATCTTATCTATAAATCAAACGTGTGAATGATTAGATTCATTGCCTCACAACTTTAAATTTACAGTAAGGTAAGGTATTCCGTATTTTAAACAGCTAGCGCGTGCGACTGCTTTATCACGATTGGCCCTAATTCTTATCAGCATCTCTTATTGTGCATGCCACCGTGGCATTTGCAAGCACTCAATGCAACCAGCTTTGATAAATAACCAAACCGACTGAGTTCACAGGAAAACTGTTTATCGGTAGTAATAATAATTTTACGCCTAGTAAATGCATTGACAGTTTTAGTGCCCCGAAATTTCATTTTCAAATAGTACTGTAGGCTATTAGTCGCTGATTACGTCTCTCATAACCGATAGATGGAGCCAGTTAACTGTCAGAGGCAGGGAAATACATACATACGTACCAATATGTATTTCTATGGTAAGAGGTTCTTATTAGACAGAGAACACCAAGCTGTATGATAATATAATTATTATTATTATATTATTATATAATATTATATATACATATACATATATACATATTATATATATTATATATATTATATATTATTATTATATAATATAATACAGTTATTATAATATATACACAGCTCATGCAGTGACACAGAGCTATCCCTATCTAAAGGCTCTGATGTGGTAGACGAGAATTTTTTTACAAGCAAGTTTAGGAACATATGGGCATTGATCAAGCAATCACAGCTGGACTTCGTGTGGCATGCGCTGTATAGGCAAAGAGCGTATATATAACAATATTTTGTTCGGCCTTTTGTAAATGGTTGCTGGTTTTTAGTCACGAATAAAACCAAGTAAACTTTCAAAGCAATGCATGCTGCATTACACGTTTAGAGCAGAATTTGGAGCAAAAGATTTACTACCCAGCTAACACGAAAATGTTATTATAACGTTATTATAATGGAATGTTATTATTTGAATGCACGCACACACGCGCACAATTAAACGCTCGCCCACCCGCACGCAGGGGCGTGTACAAGGGGGGGGGGTCCAGGGGGGTCCGGACCCCCCTGCTCGTGCAGAAAACGCATCTGAGGGGGGTCTAATTTCAAAAATTAGTGCTCGCGAGTTTGGGTTACGGTTAGACACCCCCTGCTACAAATCCTGTACACGCCCCTGGCATGCACGGGGGCCCGCGTAATTTCGCTGCCCGCTCAACCGCCTGTACGCGCAGCGCGGTACCCACTGACGCATGACGTCATCGGCACCATGCATGCATGGTACGTATTGCCATTAGCAACGGCAAGGTGGCTGCAAAGTACATGACTGTAGTCGTAATCTACAGGCTACACTAATATTTTGCCAAGGTGCTGACATTCTTTCAACTCGTTTCGATTTGAAATCCTAGACGGTAAATCATGAAAATCTGTCGTTTTAATTTCGCATCACAGGGCCTATCACTATCACTACATTGACAGTATAAATTTATCAGCAAACTCGAACATTACCCTATGTTTTGTAATTTGTATTTTGTTTGATCAAATTGATGCATGCTACGCATTCGGCCACTATACTCTATACTATAGTCACTACGTAGCGTGACTGTCAGCCATACACTCACGAATATTCATAACTTATTTACGAATATTACTACAGCTACAAACTAATTTAGTAATTAGGGAGAGAGCTGAGGGATGTCGGCAATTAGCCTTGATGATCAACCCATCTGGTTGTTAGCTTAATATTAGTCGGACAATGCCTGCCAGAGTGCACGTCAGTCGTCGCTACAGCACTACTGCCTAGCGCTCGGCAGGTAAGAAGATCACCCGGTGGCAGTCTATTTACCTGTCTGTTCATTGTGCAGGTGTATTGATTCCTTACCCCACCCTTATAGGCTTAGACTAGAGAGTCACAGCTTAGGTATGGTGACTGGTTCGATTGTAGTAACAGTTGTTTTGAGTATAATATATATCACCACCCACGTTATTATTGATTATGAGTTTAGAGAAATGGAGCCTCTATATAGGCTCTATATACTATAGATCCGTGATAGTGGTTGAGTGATAATGACATATATGCGGTCACTCGCACGTTAACCTGTACAGAGCAGCAGCTGGGAGAGATACTGATGAAAGATGGCGCATGTTGGACATCGGGGAAGCCAATTCCATGTCGTCGTTAGTCACTCGGATAAGTTGCAGCAGGGTAGGTGGTGGATTTTCAATTATACTAATTAAAGGTTAGGGAATAACTTCATTTATTAGAAGTAGATGGCGTGTTGAAGGGGGTGTGTTTCTTTGTGTGTATGTGTGTGTGTGACTGTGTGTGTATGCGTGTGTGTGTGTGTGGGGGGGGGGTGCATGTGATCATATGACGGTCAGCTCTATCTGCAGGCTGTGTGAGCGTGCATCATGTACAGTATAAGGGTCGTGCTTCAACTTGTAGTTGTATGAAGCTGTGTTTTCAGAGTCTTCACTATATATATACCAAACTTGTAGTGCTGTGTATTGTACAACTTTAGGTATATATATATATACATATATACATATATACATATATACATATATATATACATATATACATATATATATACATATATATATATATATATATATATGGGGAATTAATTAACACTATATTGATTTTACTCTTGTTTTATATTTTGCAGTTGCAGTTGCTTGGCTGTGTAAATGTGTGAATATACGTTAAATTCTTAAGTGATGATAACCTATGCGTGCCCGAGGAGTGATGACAGGCCATAAGTTGAGCAGCTAGTCAACTCCTTCTTGAAGAAATTTTTGAAGTTGGGACCACGTACATGAGCTCTGCATTTCTTTTGCAGTCAGGATGAACTGTAGAGGGTGTAGTGGCTGCATTCTAACAATTCTTGTTACTGTCATTGGCACAGCAATGTCAGAACTTGGTAGGTACCAATTTCAAAACTTGTCTTAGTTATCTCTATTCCATTTTCATTTTAAATCTAATATTTGAAGTTCACGTGTAATTATTAATCTAATAAGTCTTGTTTATTTGCAGATATCATTTTAATTGAGGATAAAGTGAGTAATGTCACACCTCTATGTCATGTACTATTTCAGTGTTTTTAGAAGAACCACAGTCAGGAGCTGTGAGTCTTGGTAATTCACACACTTTGGACTGCGTTAGCATAGACAGGCTAACAAACCAGCATGCTACGGTAGAATGGCTTCATAACAGACAGCTTCTATTGCCCAGCATCAACCACAGGCTTTTTCTATTTCCAAATGGATCACTTAATATCATAAACATCTTGGAATCCGACCTTGGTGGTTATACATGCATCGCCTCTCATTCCAATGACACCATCAGTAGTCAAACTGCCATCTTGCAACAAACCTGTAAGTAAAAATTTAGCTAATGCTTGTTTATTAATTAATCATGTTAATTTGTGAGAATTGGATGCTATAATTAATGCACATAATTAAGAAGCTACAACTGTGGAATACTAAACACAGAAGTTGAATGAGTGCTAAATTAACTAGACCGTCATTGTTATATATTGCGTACAAATGAAAAGTGAATAAAGTAGATTGCCACATGTATACAGAATATATTCATGAGTGTTTGCATTAAACAAGCTACATTTTTTGATCAGTCTTATTCTTCCAGTTACAGAACCATTTATGATATCACCCGTGTCTCAGGACGTACTAGAGGGAGCATCAATTTCACTGTTCTGTGTCACAGGGAAAAGTGACCCTTTACCAGAGGCAAGTTTAGCAGATACTATATAATATGCATGTCTCTGTTCACTATTATAACAAAAGGCATAATACAGTTTTACGTACAGTTTAAGATATGTATCGGTGAATATAGCTATAGTTACACCCCTATTTAACATCAAGCTAATATTAATTCAATTGTTTCATAAAAATCAATTATTTATTAAAGATTTCCCCATATTTAATGTTTTATGGATATGATATGAATAAAACAGCTCTATCTCAATTTACGTCATCCTGCTCGTTGCCTTGCTGTGATTATATTAAATGCACATGTCCACTAGGTTTACTGGACCATGAATGGCCGGCACCTGTCGTCTAATGTACAGCAGCAGCAGGTTGCGGTGTTTGGTGATCGCAGCAGCTCCCAGCGCAGCATGGTCCTGGAGTTCAACAGCGTGATGCCTAGCCATGCAGGTAGCTACCGATGCGCAGCGAAGAATCCACTCACACGCGCCACTGTTTTCAGTGGCAGTGCCCGGCTGAACATCACAGGTAAATGGAATCAAACTAGACCAGTACGGAGACATGCTGCACCGTCTGGAAAAAACACGGGACCTAAAAAAAGGCCCTGTCATTTACTAGACGGGGCTGATTTTTTTTAACTGATGAATTATGGAATAAAAGCTTTAATTGTTACATTCGTATGTATTGCTACTATATGCTTATTCCGTACTATTTGGTATATATGAATTGGGTTTCGACGATTCGACTTTCGTTTTTCATTCTCGCAATCTCAAATTCAGACCATGAACTTTTGGTTATCAGTTCTTTGGGCAATGTTGGTTTTTCGACCTTGTACCAAAAATTAGGGCAAAATTGGAATATGTTCATCACATTTCACATTATTTATGATCATGTTTATGACAATGATGATATTTCTTGTATTGTTTGATAACGTGAAATTTACTTTGAAATGCAGTTGGTAATAAAGAACCATATGTCATACAACACCCAAAGAATATTGTGATACACGGTCCTATTGGTTCACCATTTGCAATTAACTGTGTCATGGGAGGCCGCCCAAAACCAGAGATTTCATGGCTGAAGAATGGGAAGGTTTTGGAGGACAATACACATATTTGGAAGTGAGTAGATCAACCATATTAGATCACCAACGTACTGTACAGGAATCTGTTTTCAAATAACTACCCCAATGCCTAACCCAAACAAACAATAATATGCACATAGGTACATAGCCATATCAGCTTTCATGAGCTAGATGTGAATAGTGTGTAGCGAAACATTTTTTGTTGTAACTATTGCCAAAATTTGTTTGTGTTACTATAACTACTTCTCGTGCGTAAACAGTTCATTTCACTACTATAGTGTTTGACCATTTCTCATGTCAATTTCAGGTTAAATGATGGTTATCTGTATTTTGATCGAGTGGTGGAGGAAGATGAGGGGATCTACACCTGCAGAGGAAACAACAGTGAAGGCATGGCAGAAACCTCTACACAACTCATTACTGCAAGTACGAATATATGATGCTGCTACAGTGACTAGTGGATTCAACAGTAGCTTGAAGATTCTTGTAATTCTTTTATGCCTTGTTAGTTTGGATGTCGTTGCTGTATAGTTTCTGTAAACAATTTTAGCAAAACTCTGACAAAACCTAATTGAATTGTCTGCTGGTTGCAGAACTGGTGTTGCATTTCCAGCAGGTACCAAGGAATAAGACTGGACTTGCTGGAAATCCAATAGTTTCTGTAAACAATTTTAGCAAAACTCTGACAAAACCTAATTGAATTGTCTGCTGGTTGCAGAACTGGTGTTGCATTTCCAGCAGGTACCAAGGAATAAGACTGGACTTGCTGGAAATCCAATAACCTTCACTTGCCGTCCACCTTACAGTTTCCCAAATCCTGCGAAAATTGTGTGGTAAGTTGTATATATGTCATTTCACATGGTTCTTATAGTGCGAGAAAAAGATACTATATATGTCAAGTCTTATAGATTTGTCCTGTTTTGTGATACAACCAAACAGAGATTCAGATATAACATATAAATATAATACTTTAATATTATGAACTGTATGTGATACAGTTTAAGTACATAACACTATGTGTGTATGTGCACGTGTGTGCGTGCACACGTGTGTGAGTGTGTGCATCTGTGTATGTTCTGAATTTTCTGGATATTTTAGGTACAAGGAGAATCAGGTGGTCATGAACAGAACAGGTCTGTTTGCCATTACTGCTTATGCGACGGGAGATCTGCATATCAGCAATGTGCAGAAGCAACACGAAGGCCGTTACTTCTGTGTGGCCATTAATGAATTTGCTGTGCCTCAGAGCAGGAGTACACCTCCAGTTTATCTCACAGTTAAAGGTAACTGGTTAGCTGTTGGCAGGTCTAGCTGTAATCGTTATTGGTGAGGCAACTTGTGCAACAATGTGTGGTTTCCCCACAGGGGATCATGACAGATAGGTAATCACTGGTAATAGTATCTCTTCCATTATTGGACAAGCCATGTTATGTTTGTTGCTAAAAATATAGTTGCATATATTACTACCAGGTATTGCAAAGTACTGCATCTATCTATTGTGAACTAGAAAGAACCTGAAGACAATTCGAATTTTTCGATTTTAAATGTCTGACTGTAGTTTATTCTGTTGGTTACCCTGTTTAGCTGGTCCACTCCTTATCGATCCACCACTGGATGTGACCATAGTGAAGGGAGAAACACTGCATCTGCCGTGCAGGGTAACAGGTGACCCGGAGTTGCAGGTGCACTGGTTCCATGATGGCAAGGTTGTCATGGACAGCAGGAAGGTATCGTTCGGTAGCGGCAACCAGCAGCTGTACATCAGTGACGTGAGTTTCCTGGATGAGGGTCACTACTACTGCATAGCCAACAATTCCCTGGGATCCATCACAAGCCCCACTTCATTCGTGGACGTGCTGAGTAAGCTATAGTCAGATCTTACTGAACTTAACATCGAAGTGACTTTCAGTAAATTTTTTACGATCATAAGAGTCATAAACATCATCTCTATCATATGAATTGGTGTTTAGTATAGTGTACCGGTCAGTCCTAGTTACTGAAACGAGGTGAATATACAAGGCTTGCATGAATGAGAGAACTATACTGGTGTGTTAGGTCCTCCTGATTTATAAATTAAATTGGTTACAATTTACTATAAATCAGACGATTGTCATTGTATATGCGACTAGAAAGTGGTCATGTAGTGCAGCTAGTTTGACTTAATTTCAGTTCCGCCATATTTTGTGCGATACCTCAAAGACCAGTATGTAGAGGCTGGGTCATCAGCCAAGTTGTCGTGTCTTGCGTATGGTGACCCACCACCAGATGTGACATGGTACAATGAGACTGGTGACATCAACAGTACTTCCAGAATACAGATACTAGATGATGGTGAGTATAATTTTTAGTTTGATTAGTTCTGTCGTGTCACACGTGAGGACGATGAAGATTAACTTGTGTGGCAATCGTATATATGGTGTACGTGTCTATCGATATCAGATGCAAACATCAAACGAACATGCATGGATTGGTTCATAAAAAATGGACTATCTGGGCTCTAGACAGTTGCATTAATTTAAATTTTCAATGATTTTATGTGATTTTCACAATGCAGGGCTGCACCTTACTGAAGTCTACTCGTATGATGAAGGCGAATATACATGCCATGCAGAGAACATTGCTGGCTTAAAGCAGATGACTGCTATGCTGTACATACAGGAGGTGCCTGAAGTCAGGATTGAGCCATCCTTTATTGTGGCTAACATCAGCAGCTCACTGATGATCTATTGTAATGCTACAGGGGTTCCAGCGCCAACGCGTAACTGGATATACAAGGTAGAGAACCTTCGTGTTTGATATATATAATAAGTGTTTGATATCTATATAAGTCCTATTTCTGTTCTTGCTTGCATTTGCGTAATCGAAATCAGTAGCAATATTTTAATACTAATAGCAGTTGTATAAAGATTTGGCTATTGTTATACTAATCGTAATAGTTAGGGCAGTTGTGAAACAATTTTATATTTTTCTTTTATTTGTAGTAGCTGTGCATGTGCGTGTGAGTGTATGTGCTTTTCCTGTTCTCCATTTTCGGGAAAACACAAGACCAAATATTTTTCTACAGGGTCTTGATGGCAAAAAGAACGAGGAACTACCCAGTGGAGTACTGCTAACTATAAACAATACATTTCTGTCCATATCTAAGCTTGAGCTCAGCCATGCAGGCACCTACAGTTGTATTGCTACAAATATTGTCGGACGAGGGGAGTTTCCAGTTCTGCTCACAGTCGAGAGCCCCCCTGTTATCACTGCGCTATCCGACAGCTTACTGATGAGAGTGGGAGCCAGCAGTAAACTCACCTGCCAGGCTTCTGGAACACCAGCACCTGACATCGCCTGGTTTCACGGTGTGTATCTCATGATGGAGTGTGAACACAATTAAGTATCACTGCTGATACTGATCTTGGTCGTTAATAAGTTATTTATTTAATTGATGTATATTCAATAACTTTTATTGGTATGGATTTTTAATTATTTTTCTATTATGATGCATTATATGTGTATTAATATTTAGCAACTTTGACACGTGATGTGGTTGTTTGTGCAGTACTAGGGCATCCACCAGTGATTATAAGCAGTGCATAATTTTCAGGTACAAGCAGGGTATCTGCGGACAATGAGGGGCGGATGACGCTGACGAGCACCATCAGCCAGGGTGTGCTAAGTAACACAGCCACTGTGCTGAGCATCAAGCTAGCACGCTGGGGTAACCGTGGCAACTACACGTGCCGTGCGAGAAACCCAGCCGGCGAGGCCACGCGTTCTGTCACGCTCGATGTAAACGGTAATGCATAGACTGGCATATATGAGTGGCTGTAGGTTGCAGCTTCGGTGTCAACAAGTGTACTGAATATATCTGCGTAATGAGACTCAATGTAGTCCGTCGTGCATTTACCAGGTGGTGTAATAGTTTAATCGAGGAGTCGTATGACTTGTGAGAGTACAACGCTTAATATCCATAATGATGTATTTATATTTATTCTAGTACACATAGTGTACGTATTGTGTATATAGCCAGGTTTGTATATAATTTACATATATAGGAGTTACAGATTTTTACACACTTTCAGAGGTTCCTGTTGCTCCCGTGCTTCAGTCAGCCTTCCCTGTCTCATCCACACAAGTAAAACTGACGTGGTTTAGGAAAGCACAGGACAATTACGCAGTCTATTACACTCTACAATACAAGGACAGGTGAGGAGCTTCATATAGCTTCATACATACAGATATTTATGAAATAGGCATATTAGTTTTAGCATTATTCTCTCTACAGCAGATTAGTGTACATGAGAGTTTAGAAATCTAACTTATGGTATTAATCAGTACAATGTTATTACTATAAACTAACACAGAAATGAAAAATAATATGATTATATTTACTATACCAACTGCCTAATTACTAACCATAGCCCTTTAGCCCCACGAGGAGCATAGGCCATCGCCGACGCTCCGCCAGCGCACTCGACCCTCGGCTGTTTTTTCCATCTTTCTCCAGGAGTGACCGCTTCTCTGCATTTCTGCCTGGGTGTCTCTATGCCACGTGTTTCTTGGCCTTCCCCTCTTCCTCTTTCCCCTGTGGATTCCAGGTCAACGCCTGCCTGGTGATGTTACTGGCAGCTAGGCTTCCTGAGGGAGTGTCCAATCCAGCTCCACTTCCTTCTCAGGATCTGTGTATAGTAATTGGTTCCTGCATGGTCTGTTAATTGTTTTCCACAGTTCTTCATTTGAGATCTTCTCTAGCCAATGGACACGGAGGATTTTGTGCAGGCAGCTATTGAGGAATGTCTGAAGCTCATGTAGTGTTGTTTTTGTCGTTCTCCAAGTTTCAGAACCATAAAGTATAGTACCGTTTTCACATTGGTGTTAAATATGCTCAGTTTGGTGGACGTTCTGATCTCTTTTGAGCTCCAAACATTCTTGAGGATCAGGAAAGTGGTTCGTGCTTTGCCTATTCTCGCCCTCACGTCTGCACCCGTTCCGCCCAGCGTGTCTACCACGCTCCCTAAGATTAGTATTATAGAGTTACTAGTAATATTACTATACCAAGATGGTTCTAGGACAAATACCCCTCGGACAATCACCCCCCGGACAATTACCCCTGGACAATTACCCCCCGGACAATTACCCCCCGGACATGCGTGCGTGCGTGCGTGTGTGCGTGTGCAGGTACACGTGTGTGCAGGTACACGTGTGTGCATGTGTGCGTGCGTGCGTGCGTGTGTACGTACACGTGCGTGCGTGCGTGCGTGTGCTTGTATCGAACAATATCAGGCATCTGCTTGCTGCCACCGTTAAACTGCGCATGTGCGCATA